TTTTTTTAAATTTTTTTGGTCGAAAAATGTCCCAAATTTAGCTCTCATCTAAATATTTTTCTAGTGATTATAAAATCTTCAAAACAAATACACAACCTAATCTACATATGTACTAACGTGTCCGAAAATTTCAAGATTGTAGCCCCTCTCTGTGAGGAGTTATAGGTGCGGGGAAATTTTTGTCGGGCACTGTATATTACGTGGAAGTGCCCATTATTTTTTGAAAAAGTATGAAAAATCACTTGCAGATTTGAATAGAGTATTGGAAATTTAGCCAAGCTATGAAGTAGCAGAAGTTGCACATGTATGTCGTGGGAATGTTTAAATAAATATGAAGAATCAATTACAGATTTAAATAATGCATTGAAAATTGCACCAAATGATGTTGTTACGCTTGGAAAGCGTGGATATGCTTATAATAAGTTATGTGAACATGAAGCCTCGCTTATTGATTTTAATAAATAATATTGAAATACTCGGACTTCGTGTAGATACTTATAAAATGTTAAGTAGATATGAAGAATCACTCACAGATTTTAAAAATATATTGAAAATTGAGCCAAATACTACGCTCACACTTAGGAATTACGGAATTATTTACAGAAGATTGGGCTATTGTAAAAAATCACTGGTAGAATTGAATAAATCGTTGGTAACTAGGTCAAATGATGCACTTGCATCTGAAATTCACAAAGTTCTCAATGGTCAATTGGATAGTTTTAAAAAATTAATTTTAGAATTTAACAGAGTTGTGGAAATTGAGTTGCAAGAAACGGAAGATGGTATTCTGGTACCATCTTATAAAGAATTAAGTAATATAATAGAATTAAAAGAAGACATTAAGGGTAAAGTTTAATTTTATTAATTTATTAACCTAAATTTTTTTGTTAACAGTTAATTATGACATTCCAAAAAAAAACATCAAATAATTATCTTTCTAAAGAATTTTAGTTTTAAATGAACCTCAATATTGGTAGCTATTCTTTGTCAGGATATACATTTTTATATAATACTCTAATACCATATATGCTATTCTTTTTCAATAAATATAGGTATGAAAGGAGATTTGCCGTTTTCTTAACTGCAGAAACGAATTATAAATTGGAAAATTTTAAAGAATGCATATCAGATCTAAATAGATCAATAGAAATCGAACCAAATTACGTAGGATCACTCATACGACGTGGAGATGTATATAAAAGGCTGGGCCAATATGAAAACTCACTTGTTGATTATAATATATCGTTGGAACTTAAGCCGAATTATGTAATGGCACTACTTTCTCGCGCAGATGCTTATAAAATGCAAGAACGGTATGAAGAATCACTTGCAGATCTGAATAGAGTCTTAGAGCTTAAACTAGATGAAATTGTTAAACACATGTGTTACATGCTTCGTTTCTATATTTATGCAAGACTAGCACGATATGAAGAATCTCTTGTGGATTTAAATAAGATGCTAGAGATTGAGCCAAATAATATCGTAACACTCAGATGTCGTGGAGTAGCTTATACAATGCTAAGTCGATATGAAGAGTCACTTAAGGATTTAAATAAGGTATTAGAGATTGAGCCAAATAATATCAAAGCACTCAAATTTCGTGGAACTATTTATACGATTCTAAATCGATGTGAAGAGTCACTTGTGGATTTAAATAGAGCACTGGAATTAGAAATTGAACTAAATGACAGCAAAATTAATGTATAGCGGAAATGCTTATAAAGAGCTAGCTGATTTTAATATATTATTAGAAACCGAGCCAAACAACATAATAGTAATAATTTTACCCAAAATTATCTAGAAAAAATGTGTACTGATTAACGTTATCGATCAGCGGCTACTGCACATCAAGAGTGAAAAAAAAGATCTTGTACAGATTTTACTATAAAATCAGGGGCAATGATATTTTTGTATTTCTTAGAAGGTATAAAATATAAAACTCAACATAATGTGGATTTCAGTCCATTCTCCTAATTTTGCCAATTTACCCGAAATTAGCTAAAAATTTGCCCATAATTATGCTCAGAATTAAATTAAAATCTAAATTTTAAGCTTTCAAAATATTAAATTATCTAAATTAGTAAATTAAATTTAATTTGCACTTTTTTTTGACATTATTTGGCCAATTATGTATGTAATTTTTTCTTTTAAAGAGATCTACAATTGTTATTATCGCGGTGTTTCTTAATGCCCCTTGTAATCGTTGATAGCAGTACCCATGTGACTAGTGATCGGGTACGTGATCTTTTAATTATTAAAAATCTAAAAATAGTATCGCATGAACAATGTAGTAATTAGAAGCGATTAGTATTGAATAGCGATTAGTAATTAATAGATATTGCATGAACAATGTAGTAATAATTTAGTGATTAATAATAATATATAAGGCTTCGATCCAAATAGGGGAGAAGCTAGCTTTTCGCTCTAGTAATTAGCCTTGATTATTCGTGATTAGCTTAGTTCCTTCGTGAATAAGCTTCGTGCTTAGTGAATAAACTGTATTACCTGTGTGAATACATTATAATCGGTGGTAGTATTTGGTACGATACTCCAGTCATCGCGTAATTAGCCAAGCGAGTAAAGACCGATAGGAAAGTTAATGAAGTACACGTATAGTTAGTAAACTACGTGACATTATAGTTAAAATTTCTCACACTTTATACTTGTTATTTTCGTATTACTTATTTGAGCATCGATATTTTCTTATTCATACACAGAATATTTATATAAATCTATATATTTACCTTATTTACTTTATTTAGTATTGATTATACTATTATATAATTTTCTTATATATATAGTATTGATTATACTATCATATAATTACCTTATATAAATTTTATTTATATTCACATGGCAACACAAGGTAAATATTTAATTAAAAATAATGGTGACGTGATAGTAATGTGTTCAATTTATATCGTGTTAGGCATAAATGTGAGATAAGGTGTAAATAAATGATAAATGAATTCCTGAATTAAAGAAGAGGGTGTAATAGATGGTAAACATTATTAATCAGACGAAAAGTACCGAGGAAACTATTGGACATACTGTAAAATAAGGTGTTTGTACAGGAAAAAGCCATTGCAATGAAATAAGTTGATATATTCAGGAAAGATTCATTATCCAAATTTTAATTCAATGTACCACTTATAAAGCAGGTGTACAAAACGGAAAATCGAATAATGTAAATGTACAATGCTTTTGCATATTACTTTTAATTAATTATTCATCATATAATACAAATAGTTATATACATAAGATATGCGATTTCTTTTAGTATCAATTTTTCATGCTTAATTAGTTAATATATGTGTTCCATACAATTATTGATGAGATGAAACTATGCCCACCATGTGAAAAATTCACGGACTAAGTTAGTAAATGTGATACGGTTCTGACCACTTTATAGTTTGAATGATTAAATCATTTATACTGGGTGTTAGAAAAATTCCTACTAAAAATAAATGGCATCTTGTCATTGACAACTCATTTCTACCATAAAAAAAATCATTTATTTATAATTTTAATTAACCAATAAGATAAATAAGTCAGAGATCCATTAGATATAATACGAATTATGATATTTTCTAATGCGAAGGACAGGCAGAATAAATTTACAGGGTAGCCAACCAACACAGCATTCATATGATTTGTTTTTTAATAACGTGACAAAAAACTACTTAATTAATAATTTACACAACTAATTTGTATGATATGACAACTAATAAATAACGAAGACTATATAATTAATGTAATATTATTGTATATTAACATAAATATGCCACTGTGTTTCCTACATTCATTTTCAAAACAGTCAATTATGTAGGACTGATTATATCTGCGTCAAACACAGTAGTTTACAATTCTACTAATTAAGTACACGTATATATGTTACGAGCCATTTTTCAATTTATGATTAACAAAATAAGTTCTTAACAAATAATTGAAAAGTTCCCAGTATATATGTTTCATTCAATTTTGCCAGTCTTCAATGTTCACACCAACTGGGTATTTTTTTTTTTGAAATATAATATGAATTGCCTCTGGGTACAAATTATACATTGTTAGCACTTTACGGTATGGCATTTTAAATTTTCACCTTTTGAAAAATGACATGGGCGATTCTTAATGCAGATAATGAGACAAATGTAATTACCATTGATAATAATGTGTAATTCATATTTATTAATGACATTAATAAAGATAATAAATTTAAGTATTCTTTCAATTTCATTATTTTAAATTATATCTGAATCGATATTTTTTGTTTTATTCATTATATTTGAGTCGACTTTTTTTTTTTTATTCATTACTAGATGTTGGACCTATTATTAAATGGCGGGTTAAACTTAAACATTTTTTTTTACAATATACAATCAATTATAATGGACAATTTGCAAATATTCCATAGAATATAAGCGAATAATCTACGTTTTCTTTACATAATAAACAAGATCTAGAAAGTAGACCGGCAGCGCGTGAATGAAGACAGCAATGGGAATTTTAGCTGATCAGATGCAGCGCGAACATCAAATATCAAATAATCATTCAAACGGCACTTTATGAGTTGGTGTTAAATAATTATTATTCTAATATCTTTATAATCAGCGTTAAATAATTATTCTAACAGCACTTTAGGGTTAGAATTTAACGTTTGGATTAGAATGGTTGTATAATATATTAAAATTTTTAAGAGGAATAAAACATAAAAGACAGTTTATAACAAATTGTTGCCATATTATAATTAATGTAATGTCTTACTATATATAATAAAAGTGTCGAAAAAAAGTCCATGAATATAATAAAGATTAACTTAAAAGGCTGCTGGTTTTATAATTTTATGAATTACTTATGTCTGTTTGCATACGTACAAATATGTATTAGTACTAGTAAAACGGCACCGTTTCGTAGGGCTGGAGCCTTATTTATTACACGCTTAAACTTTATAATATACATATAAT